CGCGCAATTCAGAGATCAGCAATCCGGGGAACCTTCCGATCCGAATCAGTTGTCGGGGTCTTCACCAAAGTTGGATATAATCAAGCAAAGATTCCATAACAGTTGGAATCATCCAATTCGGACCAGTGGAGAGAAAGATATGGCTTCCGAAGCATTCACCAGCATTGCGCGTACCCGAGAACTGAACGGTGAACTTCAAAGATCATGGCGGACGGAGCCCCTCCAGACTGAATCAGCTTACCCGGTCTTCACCAAAGTTCGAGAACCATGGAAGATCTTCTCAGAGCATTTAGAATCGCTCAATTCGGAGCAAAGGTTTGGAAGATAGGGTTTCCGGAGTTCACATCGGTCTTGAAGTCTATTTTCCGGTGATTTCAATGCAGCACAAAGATGTTAAATCCAGGAAGCCTTCCACTCCCCAAGCTCCGATGGTTTCTTGACCAAAGTTCGAGCTTATTGAGTCATCTTGACTGTGGAACTGGTCCCAGAGCAATTGGAGTCGTGTGCTGAAAGTTACTGCTTCCGGAAGGTGACATGGTCGATACAAGCCTAAAAGAGTTGCGATACGCGCTAAGTATTTTCACAAGCCTCGGTATCTTTACCTTGGCGTCACTCAAGTCGAGGCTCATATCTTGGAAGTATTCTGGACTAGACCTCGTGCCAAAACCTTGGCATGGTTAGATCGAGGCATGCATACGTAAGAACTGAAGCTGGAAACGACTTTTATTTAACTTTATTTGCATCTTGATTAGTTTAAATCTCTGTTTTTATTTAACTTTATTGCTCATTTGCCTGATAATCATCGTCACCAAACTTTTATCATCTTGTCTTGACTTAAGTGAACAAATGACATAGGCTAGTGTCTCGTTTACAAGCTTGGTTTGACACCCCTTATACTACTTTGACAAGGGGATTGATAACCCTTCTAAGAGCCTGAAAACTCTTAGTTATCATTGTGGTAAGAGAGATTTTTGTAATTTTCATTCCGGAAGTTGTTGTTGAAGTTGTTGTTGGAGCGATTTTGGTATGGCACCAGTGCTCCTACGTAGTTCACATCTTCTTCTTGAAATGCTTGATTAATGTGATCGATATCACTAGGTCCTTCCTCTTCTGCGCCATTGTTGGTTTCACAAGCATGGATTGGGCGATTGTTGCTTCTCAGAAGCTGGCTCACCATGTTCTTCAACTCGGTTATCTCCTTGTTGTCTGTTCCGGCTTGCTTCATCGATCGATCATATTCAGGACAATCATTGCTATTGGCTTGAGCCAAATTTTCGATGAGGGCTCTTCCTTGAGTTATCGTCTTTTGCCCAAAATCTCCATTGCTAGCTGTATCAAGTGAAAGTTTGTATTTTGGTTGCAAACCTCGATAAAATGTGCTCAGCAAGCTTGATCCATGAAATCCATGATGAGGGCAATCACGTTCATACTCCTTAAAACGTTCCCAAGCTTCATAGAAAGATTCAGTTGGCCCTTGTTGAAAGGTTGAGATCTTCGTTCTCAAATTGTTCGACCTTGACTTAGTGTAGAAGTGGTTCAAGAAAGCAGTTCTACATTCTACCCAATTAGTAATCGATCCTCCAGGCAAAGACTTCAACCAACGGTGAGCTTTATCTGCTAATGAAAAAGGGAACAACTTACACTTTAAATAGTCAGGTGGAACTTGGTTTGTTCTCATCATGCTGCAAATTTCTTCAAAAAGCTCGATATGGTCCATTGGGTGCTCAGAAGGAACTCCATGAAATTGGTTTTGCTTCACCAATGAGATGATTTGAGGCTTGACTTCAAACTCATTCCGGTTTGGAAATGGTACTTGAATCGCAGATCGATTCTGAAAATTTTGAGTAGGTGCATCAAAATCAGCTATGCGATGGTTCCTGGCTTGTCTTCGGTGTTGATTTGCTGGCGGAATGGGGCGGTGAATGCGTTCATTCGGCTGCATTGCTGGGTTTTCACCATCGGCTACATTGATGGGTGGATCAAGGTCTTCACGTCCTTCTCTCTCTCGGTTCTGGTGGTTTCTTGGAAGAACCTCATCCTCCTCTCCATCTTGTCGAGCATGATCACCTTCTATGTGATCATTCTCTTCGTTTTCTCCATGTTCGGACCCTTCTTGGTCCATATTTAAATTTCGATTAATAGGATCTCCAGGCTGGTCGTCGTTGGCCATTCCTTGCGTTCGTCTAAGTCTTCGAAGTTCTCTTTCGTGTCTGTCTATCTCATCTAGAGTTGGAATGTCTCCTGCAGGTCTACGCCTGGTATTCATGCAATTCAGAGAAAGACAAAAGAAGGGAAAGATAGTTCAGAAAAACTTTAAGAAAGAACTAGAGATCAGGTGTCTAGAACCGAAGTTAAAACAAGAAAAATAGCAAAAGGCAGCGAAACAAATCCCCGGCAACGGCGCCAAAAACTTGATGGGGTGTGTGTGTGTCAACTACGTGAGGGAACAAGTTTTACCCTTAACAAAACAAAAGAAAGCCGCAAGTGCACAGCTAATCTGTTGTAGTATTTAGGGATCGAATCCACAGAGATTTGTGTGCCTGGTATTCTTCTACGGTTTTTAACTTTATGTCTAGACTAAATTGGTTTTAAAGGTTGGTTGTTTTTCTTGAATTAAACTAAAGGTAAATAAAGCAAATAAATCTATCCTAAAAGGCAAGTAAAGAAATCGAATGAAAGGCAGTAGAACAAGTAAAATATCGAACTAAACAAAGATAAGGCAAGTAAAATATCGCATGAAAGGTAAATAAAGCAAGTAAATAACGAACTAAGGAAATTAAAATGCAGGTCTAAAAGAGCAAGTAAAAATCGATGGAAATTGTAAACTATGGCTAAAAACGCTGAGCTTTTGGGAACTCTAAGGGATCATAATCGGTTTTAACATTAAGGTAGATAGATTGGGATTGACGGATAACAATATATGGGTTCTAGAGCTAGAGTACGGCGGTATGACTACGTCACTGTCGTGATCATAACCAACTGTTTCTCGCAACCCTGACCAGTAGGTTTCCACTCTGGCCCTGGAAGGGAGAGAACGCAAGAGCTGCATAAGACTCGTCAATACTCACGATCTCGCCGCAGGTAGGTTTCCACTCCTACGGAAAAATCGCCTGTTTCATTCTAGGCTGATACTTAATGAAAACTTTCGCAACACTAACTATCTAGATCAGATACTAGGTGATCAATCAAGCATACGTGCAATAAGAACAAGAATAAACGGAGAACAGGTCGAAATCCCAGATCTATAAACCTAGATGTCTTAATCGATTATGAGAGCCCCTTTCGGGAACCCTAAGCCCAACTCGGGATCTACTCAGACATGGCTGAGTTCGACATCATCATTGGTTTTAATAAAAGTAATGAAAAACAGTAAAGAAAATAGATAAAGAAAGCTTCTCTATTGAAGAACTCGGACTTGAACAATCTTCTACAAAAATCTCATAAAAACGGCTAAAGGAAAAGGGTTTCTGTAAAGTATCAAAAAGCTCTCCTAAAAACGACCTAAATGACATGTATTTATAGTCCCCAATACTCCATGGTCTCTAGGGTTCCGGAATTGAGGCTGGGAATGACTTTGGGCTTCAGATAAGTCGGCTTTAAGTCGGAGCTTGAATGCCGCGGTCGGGAGTGTTGTTACCGCGGCAATTGGCTTGTTGGCCGCGGTCGGGAAGCTTCTGGCCGCGACAAATAGCTTGTTGGCCGTGGTCGCGTGAGCTGCTGGCCGACTCCGCGTGGCTTCGGGGCTAATGGAATATCTTGAGATCCAACCGTTGGAATGTCTCCAAACCAAGTGCATTTGAAAGCTGGTTGATTCTTCTATAAGTTGTCCAATTTTTAGGGTGATCAGACGGTGAGAAGGTCTTCGTCTCTCCATGAGAGTTCTGACGGTCTGCATTTATCCAAAAGAGTCTTTTTGTTCCATTTTATGCTTCTTTATCCAAAATTACCTGAAAAGTCTTTTAAAATCCGGAAACATAGAAATCCTTTGAAAACCTTTGAAAATGGAGTAAAAACACCTGTAAAAGATATTAAAATAATCCATAAAAATGGTCAAAATCCGGTGTTATCATTGAACCATTCCAATGAAATCGCAGGTCTCTGTCTTTAGTGACTGAAAACCGCGTTGATCCTCTTTCTCTCCGACGTTTTTGCACATATCTGCATATAGGAAAATGAAAAACAAGAGTGCATGTGGTTTGAAAGAGGCTGGGTTACGGTGGGGAACTAGCTAAATGTGAACTAGCCATTCAGGATCAACAAAGAGTAGTAAAAGGGTAAAGGAGTCCTGAATGTATGATTCGTTTCCCTGATCTAATGCTTTAATGAGAAAGTTAAGTCAAGATTAAGTTCAAATAAAATGAGCTAGTATATCCTGTCAGAAAGAATCTCCATGAATAGAAGTCCTCTGGTGGGAGTTCGTAGTGTAAGTACTCTAGCTACCGCCTAATCTAGGCCTAAATCACAGAAAGAGCAAAAAACGAGAAAATAGCGTAGAAGCACACTGGTCTAAATCATCATAGTATTGTTTATTTATGTTCCTGGTTTGAAAACGTTTTGAAAAATTTTTGAAAAAATTTTCGAAAACTTTTTGAATAGTTTTTATGTCCAAAACAAACTCAAAACAAATCAAATTTCGTTAGTAACGGATGAACATCCTCCCCCAGACTTATTTCACACTGTCCTCAGTGTGATGAAATATAAGAAAGGATGGATAAGGAAGTAGAAATTTGAAGTGTTTAGATGTACTTACCTTGTCGGAAGAATGAGTCGCGGTTGCACCGTCGGTCGAAGTTTCACCGGGGCCGGAGTGATGGCCGGTTTTCGGTTTATGATTTCTTCTCGTCTTTTATTCGTTCTTCTTTGTAAAAACCTGAAATTAAATGAAACAAAAAAATGCAACAAAATAGAAAATAAAGATCAAAGGGAAATAAGTAAAATACCAAGTGGGTTGCCTCCCACTAAGTGCTTGTTTTAAGTCGTTAGCTTGACTTGGTCGTCTTTTAGGCATTATGCGCATCTGCTAAGGAGATTGGATCCTCTGTTTCTTCTTGAATATCTACAAGATATGGATTAAGACGTTGTCCATTGACAGTGAAATCGCCTCCTTGACGGTTCCATAGAACCACAGCACCATAGGGTAAAACTTCTTTGATCTTGAAAGGTCCAGACCATCGAGATTTAAGCTTTCCGGGAAACAATTTTAGACGTGAGTTATAAAGTAGAACCTGGTCATTAGGTGAGAACGTCTTATGAACTATTTTCCTGTCATAAAACTCCTTCGTCTTCTCCTTATAGATCTTAGAATTCTCATAGGCGTTATGGCGAATCTCGTCTAACTCATTTGCCGTCTGGATATCGTAATTCAGCTTTCTTTTTGCCCATTCTGCTCTGAGCTCTAACTCCCATGGAAGATGACAAGCCTTACCATAAACAAGTTGAAAAGGTGTAGTACCCAATGGGGTTTTGAACGCAGTTCTATATGCCCAAAGAGCATCATCGAGCTTTGCTGACCAATCTTTTCTTGTCGGTCCTATTGTCTTTTCCAAAATTCTTTTGAGTTCTCTGTTTGATACCTCCACTTGGCCACTTGTCTGTGGGTGATAAGGTGTAGCTACCTTATGTTTCACTCCATTTTTCTTCAATAGATTCTCAAACACTTTGTTGATGAAGTGAGAACCACCATCACTGATGACGAGTCGCGGAACACCAAATCTTGGAAATATGGTCGACTTGAACATCTTCATTACTACTTTTGTGTCATTTGTGGGGCTGGCTATGGCTTCTACCCACTTAGACACGTAGTCAACAGCAACAAGGATGTACTTGTTTCCAAAAGACGAAGGAAAAGGACCCATAAAGTCGATTCCCCAAACATCAAAAACTTCGACTTCTTGAATGAAGTTTTGTGGCATCTCTTTTCGTTTGCTGATGTTCCCTTGTCTTTGACAACCATCACACTTAGATACGAATTTATGGGCGTCCTTGAACATGGTAGGCCACCAATAATCAGTTTGTAAAACCTTCGCTACAGTCTTATCAGTAGCAAAGTGTTCAGCATAGTTAGATCTGTGACAATGAAAAAGGATTTCTGGAACTTCTTCTTCGGAGATGCACCTGCGAAACAAGTTATCTGCACACTGCTTATAAAGATATGGTTCATCCCAAAAGTACCTTTTTATATCACGCAAGAACTTCTTTTTGTTGTAGCCGAAGAATCGTGGCGGTTCGACGTCTGCTGCTAGGTAATTCGCGATATGCATAAACCAATGAAGCTCGGAAGGTTTTGCTTTTGGAGGCGGGGCTGGACGTGTCTCTGGGGTGATTACTTTAGCATTACCATCTTTCTCCACGTCTCCAATAGGGTCTTGAGAGGTCGATGTCGAGCTTGCACCAGGTGAGGTAGCTTTGCCCTTAGATTTATTGGATTTGCGCTTAGACTTCCTTGCTTTGTGCTTTGATTTTCTCAACTCGACAACTCCCTTAGGCTCGACTAACGGGGCTTGTATAGAAACGTGTTGGCACCTTCCCTTGTTATCTCCAGGGTCTAGAATCAACTTCTCTTCCTTGTAGATGGTTATACAGTAAGAGCTTCTACCACTACAGACTGCAGGATAGAAGATTCTCTTTTTGACTTTAGAAAAACAAACTCTTCGGTTGGGATAATCAAAAACTGCCCCCACTATTGCAAGGAATGAACTTCCAAATATTAACGCCCTGGGAGAGTCATTTTCCATCTCAAGAATGTGAAAATCAACAGGAACAAGACACCCTCCTACTTGCACCATCAAATCCGTTACGAAACCATATGGAATCGTGCTTGAATTGTCTCCAAACTTACCGTGAGGAGGTTTGATATCACATATCCCCATCTCGGTTGCAATTTCTTTAGACATCACATTCACATTCGCTCCTGTGTCACATAGAGAGTCAGAAAATTCCATACCTTCAATTATGCAGGGGAAGACAAACTTCACCGAATCGTTTATCTTATGAAGCTTCCTTTGGTGTGGAACTTTGCCTATTGCATCATACTCTTCAGGACATGCTGGAGATTCAACTTCAGTGTCCTGATTGCTAGGAATAGGCGTGAATTCTCTCTCACCATCAGTGTTTATGACATTGCAACGCCACATTGGATTGTCTACGGTTTTTCCTGGAAGGTGACCATCTTGTCTCTTCACACTTTCTCCAATTTGTCCGATTTGTTTCTAGAGCATCTTGACATGAGTTGAGAGGTTAGTGAACTTCTGAAATGACTCCTCATTGTTCTTGTTAAGGTGATCATTCATGATGTCTAACTTAAGCTCAAGGTTGCGGATGTCTTGGGCGATTTCTTCATGTACCTCAGCGATTCGTGTCTCCATAGCTTCGGTGCTTTATGAACCATCTATTGTTTGTGATAGCTGCACGTCCATGCTATCAACATGAGTGGAAAGAGCTTCAAATTTACCATTAAGGTTAGTGTATAAGCAGTCCACTCTTATATCCACATCGTCTGCTAATCTTTGCAGCTTCATAAGAAGTGGTTGCACCATAAGCTTGAGCTTGTCGTCTTGAGAGGTTGGGGGTGATTTTGGAGCAGATTGGAGATTCATATGGGTGTGATCTTGTGCTCCAAGTTGATGATTAATCTCAGCTGCATTAACTGCTTCGCAGACATTAAAAGAACGCTGCTGGTTTTGGAGAAACAATTTCACCATGGCTTTAAGTTCTTCAATCTCCTTATGATCATGGGAAGTAGAACGTGATATTCTTCCTTGATCAGGACAATTGTTTCTGCTGCTTGCAGCAAGATTACTAATCAAGATGTAAGCTTCTTCTACAGTCCTTGTCATGAAGTTTCCATCGCTTGCTACATTTAGAGGCGCCTTAGATGTCCATTCAAGACCTTCGTAGAAGGTATTCAAGACGCATGTCTATGTAAAACCGTGGTGAGGACATTCTCTAATGTAGCCTTTATAACGATCCCAAGCTTCATGAAAAGGTTCGCCTCCTTTTTGTTGGAACCTAAAAATATTGTCTCTAAAGAAGTTTGATCTAGAGGTGTTGTAGAAATTGTTAAGGAAGGTGGCCTTGCATTCGTCCCATGATCCGAGTGAACCAGGAGACAAAGACTTAAACCATGCACGTGCCTTATCACAAAGAGAAAATGGAAACAACTTGCACTTTATGAAATCTGCAGGAACTCCGGTCGATTGCTTAGTACTGCAGATTTCTTCAAAATCTTCGAGATGGTCCATAGGATTCTCCGATGCATCGCCATGGAACCGGTTCTGCTTGACCAATTTTATGAGCTTCGGACTTATCTCATAGTCTACGTTGATGGGTTGTAGAATAATGGGAAAACGGTTCTCATAGAAAGCATACGGAGTGTTTTTATAAAGTGTTCATTCATGACGTTTCTATACATTGCAATGCCACATTGGATTCTCATAGTCTAATTTTTGTGTATGTATGTGTGTGTGTTTTTTTTAATTAATTAATTATTTAATTTATGTACATATATATATTTATATTTTTTTTCGTTTTTAGTTTTTAGTTTTTTATTTTATTTTGTTTTTTAGTTTATATTTATATATATATAATTTTTTAAAATTTTTTTTTAATGTTAATATATAGATTTATATATATAGATATATATATATTTTATATAATAATAAATATTTTTTTAGTTATATATATATATATTTATACTTTTTCGTTTTTATATTAATTTCTATATGTATATATATTTTTTATATAAAATAATAACTAGAATTTTTTTTTTTTTTTCAAAATGAACAAGAGAACGTACCTTAGACTCGATTCTAATCTGAAACTCGTAGGCAACGTTAAAGGTTCCCGGCAACGGCGCCAAAAACTTGATGTGCTCAGGTTTTAACCCTAGTTTTCTGCAAGCGCATAGATGTACGTTGTAGTACTTAGGGGTCGATCCACTGAAGACCAAGTAACTACAATACGAGTTTACTTGAGATGAGGACTGAGCTAAGATGAAAATATGGATGTTTGTTTGGGGGTTGTGAACAGTGACGAAAATAGCAAATAATAAACTTAAAAACTAGTAAACAGTAAGATTAAATCAATATGAGAAGGTGTTGGGCGTTAGGGAATTCGCCGGGAAATCATAGACTAGCTAACAAGAGAATTAAATATAGAGTTTTCTATAGATGTGTTCCTGAAATCAAACTCAGACTAACCTACTCACGTAGTATTAATCACAAATCAATTCACTCAGATTTACTAAACTCCCATTCAGTTCTCTAAGTTTTCTAGATAAATTAGTTTGATAATTTCACAAAACGCTTTAGATCGACTCACGCCGTCTAAGAGAATTTGTTCATCTATATAGGGTTAATCGATTCAACAACACTTTCGGTGAGTAAATCAACCTAATCGCAGTAGCTAGATTATCGATCAAAGCCACATAAACGAAACGCAGATTTAGACGAAGAACTCTAAAGATAAACCCTAATATAACAAACCAGAAATCAATCCATGAATCCCTTTGAAAAATCCCTTATAACCCAACAAGGGAATTACTCAATCATAGTGTATAAAAACATCACAGAAGTATTGTAGTTTGCTGGAAATTAAATAAGAGAAAGGTAAAGAACGATGAACGAGGGTGAAGATGGAGATCGATGGTGGCTCCTTCGGCGACTCCTTCTTCTCCCGAAGACGGCAACTCCGAGGTATGCAGCTCTTCTCTGCTCTCTCTCCACGGCTTGGTCATTAGAATGACCTCAAACGAGTATATATAGCCTTCTAATTCGTTGGAAACGTCTAGGGTTTGAAGAATGAGTATTGGGCTGGACTTGGGCTTGAATTAGGTCACTTTCGGACGTCAACGTTGTCTGGCCGCGGTCGCGGTGGTCCTGACCGCGGGGAATCATGGTCTGGCCGCGGTCGCGGCCTATGCTCTCCTTCGAGACTGCATTTTCAGTCTTGAGTGCATCGGGAATATCTGAAGATCTAACCGTTGGATTGTCTCCAAACCAATTTCATTAGAAATCTGGTTGTGTCCTCTATGTTGTCTCATATTTTGGGGATGATCAGACGGTGAGAAGGTCTCCATCGAGTACCATACTTCTAACGGTCTGCATTTATCCAAAATTGCTCATTTGTTCCAAATTGCACATCTTTAGTCCAAGTTTCCTGAAAAGTCTTTTAAAACTCTAAAACATAGATATCACTTAAAAACCATTGAAAACAGAGTTAAAACACCTGCATAAGATATTAAAACGATCCATAAAAATGGTAAAAATCCGGTGTTATCATCTTCACCATAAGTGTCATTGCTCAGTGCTAAGTTCTCCACTAGCTCTAAAGCAGCATGAATCTCCTTACCCAGAAAGTTCCCATTGGAAACAGTATCCAGCTGGTTTCTAACCTTGGGAAGAGCTCCTCTATAAAGTGTGCTGAGAAGAGAAGCCTCACTAAACCCATGGTGTGGGCATTGGTTTGTGTAGCTCCTGAATCTCTCATATGCTTCACCAAAACTCTCATTGCTGTGCTGAGTGAAACTAGAGATTTGATTCCTTAGTTTAGCAGTTCTGGAGGTGGAGAAAAACTTAGACAGGAAGGCTTGCTTGCATTGCTCCCAGGTTTGAATGGAGCCTCTTGGAAGATTCTTCTCCCATTGGTGAGCTTTGTCACCAAGACTGAATGGGAATAGTCTTAGCTTGAAGCTGTCTTCTGAAACTCATTAATCTTTGTCAGGTCACACACTTTATCAAATTGATCCCAGTGTTCCAAGGGATCTTCCATTGCTAATCCATGGAACTTTGAGTTCTGGACCATATTCAATAAGGATGCCTTCACTTCAAAGTTGTTGTTTTGCACAGGTGGTGCCTGAATTCCAGCTCCATACTGATGAGCATTGGCCCTTTCATTCTCTCCAACATAGACTTGTGGTTGCTCATATCTTCTTTGCTGGTGTTGAAAAGGTTGATGTTGGTGGTGCACCTGTTGTCTTTGTTGTGCATTGGCCTGATGCCTCTGCTGATGAGCTGGAGCTTGTCCCTGGTGGACATAAGCTTGTTGGTGATGCACCTGTTCCTGATGAACATTACCCTGATTTAACCCTTGACCAACTCCATTACCAGCTCCATTACCCTGAGCCTGTTGCTCCTGAACCGGTGGTTCTATATCTACCACGTGCTCTCTTTGTTCTTCCATATCAGCCTGATCAACCTGTCTTCCACGTCTGTCCCTTCTCCTTCTTGGTACCAAAAGATTGATGTTGTCGTTGAGAGGGAAAGGTGGACCACAGCTTCTTGATCTAGACCTGGTGTCCATACACCTGAAATCACAAACAGAACTTGAAAGTAATCAGTAAAAACAAGAAAATAAGCACTTGATCTCAAGAACAGATCAGAGCTTAATGCTAAACAAACCACAATTTGGCAACGGCACCAATTGATAACTAAGAGTTTTCAAGGCTCTTTGTAGAGGTTATCAATCCCCCTGTCTTGTAGTACAAGGGGTTTATCAATCCAAGAATGTGGTGTTAGACACTAAGCTATGTGATCAGATTCTTAATTCAAGCAAACAAGTGTGGTTTTGATTAACTAATGAGAACTACAAACTTAAAACAAGATTAATGACTAAAGAAGTGATCAAACAAAGAACTAAACAAATGACAAGTGATGAGAATGTATGTATGATGATGAGAAAGGTCTTAGACATGATAGTGGATTAGGGTGCCTTCAGTGATAAACTAATGAGCTAATGAATCATATGATCAAGCAAACCAATTGATAGCTAAGAGTTTTCAAGGCTCTTTGTAGAGGTTATCAATTCCCTGTCTTGTAGTACAAGGGGTTTATCAATCCAAGAATGTGGTGTTAGACACTAAGCTATGTGATCAGATTCTTAGTTCAAGCAAACAAGTGTGGTTTTGATTAACTAATGAGAACTACAAACTTAAAACAAGATTAATGACTAAAGAAGTGATCAAACAAAGAACTAAACAAATGACAAGTGATGAGAATGTATGTATGATGATGAGAAAGGTCTTAGACATGATAGTGGATTAGGGTGCCTTCAGTGATAAACTAATGAGCTAATGAATCATATGATCAAGCAAACCATTCAACATAAACATCTTTAATTAAGTTAATCCTCTCATGAA